TTTTTTCCTTTCTTTTTTTTTTTTTTTTTTAGATAATCATCGAATAGAAAGGACTAAAAAAAGCAAGACGAGTACCGATCTAAAAGATTTTGCTCTTGTCTCGGAGAAGTTAGGTAACAGTACAAAGCCACTTTTGAGGTGATTCGAAGTCGATGTTCAGTCTTCGCGCGGTGCTCGAGCCAACACCATCGTTTTACGTTTCGCGCATGCCTCGCAGGATGTCAAACGGCCGTGGTAAAAGAACACGGTGAATTTTAGTGAATATCTGTGATGTGATTAATGGAAAGTTTTTTTTTTTCACCTGCCATCACCATGAAAAATTCATCGTAAGTCATCACATTTCATTTTTCATATTGTTAAGAAAAAAAAAAAAAATAAAATGAAATATACAGAGCAAGAGTGAAAATTATTCTTCTATCAATCATACCAGATTCTCAAAAAATAATATTACGAATTTTTACAAAGATTTTTTTTTACAAAGTTTAAATTTTAATTTTTCATATAGCGTACATATATGGATAAACATTTATAAGTGTAAATAATTAAATATAAGTGACATATATGTGTACATATAATAATATGAAACATGTAAATAAAATAAGGAAAATGTAATAATGTAAAAATTGAAAATTGTGAATGAAATTTAGACTCGATATTTAAAAATTCTACAGAATATTCGTTATAATAATACAAATGGGCAAGCAAACGATAATATCGCCAAGAAAATGTAACGATACAATTGAAAAACGAGTGTAGTGCAAAGAGATACTAGTTAAGAAATGTAATTATTCCTTCCTGTAACTTTATGAAAGGCAATTATGCTTGTTACTTTCTCGAAAGAATGTATCGTCGAATTTCGATTTCTATAAATTATTTTGTATTCACAAAAATACTTCCCTACGCAAATTTTCTTAAAAAATATATATTTGTTTAATATCATTTGACAATTGCAAACAACGAATTTATTATTACAAATCGAATCATCGATGTATATAAAAAATTATTTTCTTCGAAATTAATCCAATTCTATAAAAATTTTATAAAAATTCTATAAAGATTCTATAAAGATTTTGAAAATTCGCTCGTTATTTTTTTTTTTTTATACTAAATAAAGAGTTCGTTTACAATGAAGGTTGCATAACGACAATGACTATCCTCGAAAGGTCAATTCAATTCTACACACAAATGTCACGGCTTGATCTTTGCAAATTGATCCAAGATTAAAGATCAATTTAAT